GAACTTGGGTCCCTGACAACCACATGGGAGACTTGGATTGAGTTTCCAGTTCCTGGCATCAGCCTAGCTCAGCCTGGCTGTTGTGGGCACTTGGGAACTGAACCAGTAGGTAGAAGCGCTTGCTTGCTCGCTCGCTCTGTGTGTGTGTGTGTTTCAAATAAATGAAAACAAGTAAGTAAAATTTAAAATAAATCCTTCAGAGAGAAAGAAGTTTATACAGATCAGAACTCAGATCCACATAAAGAAAGAGGATCAGAGAAAGACCAAGTGAGAATAAAAACTTGTTTTTCTTATTCTTAATATAATACAAAACTGTTTAAAACAATAGTAACAATAGTAACAATTATTCAATATTGTATGATTATGTGTTACATACACAAACATACATGTATATACTATGCATGTTTGAGTATGAGTGAAATGACTGTAGTGATTAAAGGGACAGAACAGAAGAATTAGGGATATTTTGTTACTATATTTAGTACTTCCATTACCCATAAAGTAGAATAGTGTTATTTGGACTTGGATTAGTAGAAAATATATATTTCAAAATCTACGGCAGCCACTAAAAAAGGCAAAAAAAATAAAATTGTTATGTTAAAAAGGAAGAGAAGATGGCATCATGATATGTTCAATTAAAACTATACAATTTATGACAGAAAAATATCACAGATAAAAATAGGAACGAAGAGCAAGGATAACAAATAGAATGCATTAACAATTATGGTAGATAGTAATACAATGATAATCAGATAAAATCAGTAGGTCAAACATTCACTAAATGACAGAAATTGTGAAAGTGAATCAAAAACCAAGAACAAATCATATGTTGTCTATAAGAAACCCACTTTAAATATAAAAACACATACAGATTAAAAGCAAAACTATGACTCAAGATATACCATGCTAACACCAATCCAAAGAAAGCAGTACGAGCCATATTAACTGCGGAGAGAGCAAACCACATAGCAAGGGAAGTTATCAGGGATAAAGAGGAGCATTATTTAATGATAAAGTGGTCAATCCTCCAAAAACACATTATAATCCTTATCATATATGTCTATATGAATGTAACAACAGAGAACCAAAATTTGTGAAGCAAAAATTATCATAATATGCAAGAGGAAATAGAAAGCATATTATAATTGGAGACTTTACCACTTCTCTTTCATAAATGGACAGACCTATGAGGCAGAAAATCAGTAGAGATACAACTGAACACACCATAAATCTACTAGATGAAATTGAAATGCATCAATTACCTCACTCAACAACAGGTACACATTCTTCTCAAGCTCACATAGAGCATTCACCAAGATAGACCACCATATGGGCCATAAAAGGATAGAAATCACACAAAATCTGCTTTCAGGTCACAATGGATTTAAACTAAAATTTGATGACAGAAAGATATCTGGAAAGCCCTACCAAAATGTAGAGAATAATCACACTTTTTAATAAAATGAGTAAAAGAATAAACTTCGAGAAAAATTAACATTATTTTGAACTAAATGAAAAGGAAAATACAACTTACCTACATTTGATGGATGCAATGAAAGCAGTGCCTAGGGAGAAATTTATAGCATTGGATGCATGTATTAGAGAAGAGCTATCTAAAAATTAATCATCTAAACTTCCACCTTAGGAAACTAGAAAACAAAGAACAAATTAAAGTAAGCAGAAGAAAAGAAAAACAGCAGGAATCAATAAAACTACAAACAAGAAATCAATAGAGAATTTCAATAAAAACCAAAAGCTGGTTCTTCGAAAAGATCAATAAGATTGATAAATCTCTAGCCAGGTTAACTAAGGAAAAGGATAATACTAGCACCTTTAAAATAAATACTAATACCAGCAATGAAAGAAGGAACATCATTAAAGATATCATAGGCATTAAAGTGATAATAAATGATTATGAACAACCCTATCCCTACAAATTTGATAAGCTAGATGAAATGGATCAATTCTTTGAAAGACAGTCTACTGGGAGTCACACAAGAAATAGACATCTGAATGGCCTTTATCTATTAATGAAATTGGATCTATAATTAATAACCTTTTAAATAGAAAGCACAAAGCCCAGATGCATTCATTGGTGAATTCTACCATCCACTTCAGGATGAAATTCTATCAATTCTTCATAATCTCTTGCAGAAAATGGGAGCAAAGGAAATAGTCCCTAACTTAACACCATAAGGCTAGACTTACCCTGTGTCAAAACCAGGAAAAGCCATGACAAGGAAGGAAAACTACAGATCAATATCTCTCATGAAAAAAGATGCAAAAATCTTCAACAAAATACTAACTGATTAAATCCAACACTGAATAAAAAGAGTTGCACAGCTTGCTTTGTGCTCGAGTAGCTTAAGCCCCCTTTTGCAATGCCAGCATCCCATATCGGAGTACCTGTTAGAGCCTCAGCTGCTCTGCTTCTGATCCTGCTCCCTGCTAAGGCACCTTCTTCTGGGAAGGCAGCAGCAGATGACTCAAGAACTTGGGTCCCTGCCACCTTATGATAGATGCAGATGGAGTTCCTGGCTCCTGGCTTCAGCATAGCTCAGCTCTGGCTGTTACAAACATTTAGGGGAGTGTACCATGATGGAAGATCTCTGTATCTGTCTCTCCCTCTCCTGTTGGTCTCCTTTCAAATAAATAGAGTGGGACTTATCCCAGGTATGCCAGTTAGTTCGACATTCAAGATTCAGTTTCCAAAATCTATGACATTGACAAAGGTAGAAAGATAAATCACATGATCATATCAGTAGGTACAGAAGAAATATTTAAAATTCAACCTATTCATGGTAAAAATGACACAACAAAATTCAAAGAACTAGGAATACGGAAACTTCCTCAAGCTTATAAAATTTATATTTTAATTAAAGCCTCCAGACAACATCCTACTTAACAGTGAGAAACTCAAAGCTTTCCCCCTAAATCAGGAATAAAACAATAATGTCTTCTCTTACCACTGCCTTTCAATATTGTTCTTCAAGTTACAACCAACACAAAAAAAATGTAAAAAGGTGAAAAAAAAGTACACAGATTGGGAAGAAAGAAATGAAGCTATCTTTGCAGATTACATGATTATTTGTACTGAAGCTTGAAAGAATCAACAAAAAGCTCCTGAAACTTTTTGGCAATTATAGCAATTGATAATATCAATAAATTATAGGATGTAAGGTTAATATGAAAAGTCACTTTCCTATATACCAGCAATGAACAGTGGAATTTGAAATCAAAACACATTATCATTTATGCTAGCACCCACCAAAATGAAATGGGTCTAATCTAACGAAGGATGTACAAGATATTTATGGAGAAAGCCATAAAACTCTTATGTGATGTGTTAAGGAAAGACTAAACAAATGGAGATTTACTCTATGTTCATAGTTAGAAAGATTCAGTATGTCAAGATGTCCTTTTGTCCCCACTTGATCTGTAGATTCAACACAGTTTCAAAATTCTCAGGTTATTTTGTAAATATTAACAAACTGGTTCTAAAATTTATAGAGAGAGCCAAAAGATCCAGAATATCAACTCAATATTGAAGTAAAACAAAATCAGGACACCAACAGTACTCAAGTTCAATACTTACTATAGAATTACAATAATCAAGACAGTGCAGTATTGTCAAAGATTAGACCAAAAGATCAACAGAACAGAACAGGAGGCCAGATACAGACCCACCTAAACATAGCCAACTGATCTTCGACAAAGGAGCAAAGGCTACACAATGGAGCAGCGATAAACTTTTCAAGAAATAGTGCCAAGACAATATCTTGCATTCAGCTGCAAAAAATAAATAAATTAGATAAAATAGCTAACATTCTTCACAAAAATTAATCAAAATGGTTTACAGGCCTAAATATAATACACAAAACTATAAAATTCCTAGAAGACAAATAGGAAAAAACTTAAATTATATTGGTATAGCAATGACTTTTTAGATACAACACCAAAGGTATGACATATAAAGGAAATTATTGATAAGCTAGACTTAGTCAAAATATAAAACTCCTATTCTGCAAAAGATGATAGCAAGGGATTGAGTAGATAAGCTATATACTAGAAGAAAAATATTTGCAAAAGACACATCTGATAAAGCACTATTATCCAAATATACAAAGGACTCTTTTTTTTTTAACTTTTATTTGATGAATATAAATTTCCAAAGTACGATTTATGGATTACAATGGCTTCCCCCACATACCGTCCCTCCCACCCACTACCCTCCCCTTTCCCACTCCCTCTCCCCTTCCATTCACATCAAGATTCATTTTCGATTATCTTAATATACAGAAGATCAGCTTAGTATACATTAAGTAAGGATTTCAACAGTTTGCTCTCACACAGAAACATAAAGTGAGAAATAATAGATGATTTTTTTTAAATGATGATGAAATCAGATCAGACCTATTGTCATGTTTAATCCCAGTGAGAGTCAAATTGGGAGTTGATAATTTCTTTCTTTCTTTTTTTTTTCCCCCAGAGGATCAGTTTAGTATGCATTAAGTAAAGATTTCAACAGTTTGCACCCCCATAGAAACACAAAGTGAAATATATTGTTTGAGTACTCGTTATAGCATTAAATCTCAATACACAGCACATCAAGGACAGAGATCCTACATGAGGAGTAAGCGCACAGTGACTCCTGTTGTTGACTTTACCAATTGACACTCCTGTCTATGGCATCAGTAGTCTCCCTATGCTCCGGCCATGAGTTTCCAAGGCTATGGAAGCCCTCTGAGTTCTCCGATTCTTATCTTGTTTAGACAAGGTCATAGTCAAAGTGGAGGTTCTCTCCTCCCTTCAGAGAAAGGTACCTCCTTCACAAAGGACTCTTAACATGCAACAGTAAGAAAATGAATCATATTTTAAAATGGTTGAAAGACTTGAATAGCTACTTTATTACAGAAGATATAAATTGCATATAAAAGATGATCAACATTCTTTTCATTAGAGATTGCAAATTAAAAGAACAAAGAGACCCCACTACATACCTATTGGAAAAGCCAAACACCAAAACATGGAGAACACCAAATGCTGTGGCGGATGTGGAGCAACAGGAACTCTCATCCATGGCCACTGGGAATGCAAAAAGATACGGTCATTTTGGAAGATAATTTGTCAGTTTCTTACAAAACTGAACATGCCATTGTCATGCACTTCAGCAATCCTACTTCTTGGTATATACTCATGAACTGAAAACTTAGACCCACACAAGATTTTTTACATGGATGTTTATAGCAGCTTTATTCATAATTGCCAAAATGTGAAAGTGACCAAGGTGGCTTTGTGGGTACAACCAGGCAAAGGAATATTATTCAGCAGTAAAAAGAAACACACTGTCAAGCCATTAAAAGACATGGAGGTAACCTGGTTGCATATTACTAAGTGAGAGAAGGCAATCTGAGAAAGTTATAGCCTAAATAATTTTGACCATATGACTTCAGGAAAAGAGAACACTCTGGCAACTGTAAAAATATCAGCGGTTGCCAGGAATTGGAAGGGAGATAAGGATAAATAGGCAGAGAACAAAAGAATTTTAAGGCAATGAATATACTCCATGTGATGCTGTCATGGTGGGTGAATGTCATTATACATTGTCAAAATCCATAGGACACCAAAAACTCTCTCATGGATACTATGAATTTGAGAGATAATTATGTGTCAATGTAGGTTCATCTATTATAACAAATGCACCACCATTGTAATGGGGAATCATGACAAAGGGGAAGGTTGCACATGTATGGAGACCAGGTTTACAGGAACCTTTTACACTTTTGCTCAATTTTTCTGTGAATATGAAACTTACCTAAAAAAATAGTATTTTTTTTCAAAAAGATATTTTTCAAATTCATATAATAAGAGTTGAGGTTCATTAAGTCTTGTGGGGGAGCTTATAAAACTGTCTGCTCTGTACACGCAAGACATTTCTGATGCACAGCCAGAGTGGAGAATCAACAAGTACATCCTAGCCTCCTGATTTTTCCAAATGTAGCCATACTATTTATTTTTTCAGACCTTTAATCTTGGCTAGAAATAGTCTTACAAATTCAACTGTACTAATAGCAGATTATGTATGCATGTCATATTCACATTTATAGAGGAGTCTTTCTCTAGCTAACTACTTAAACTAGTAGGAGCCCTATGTTTATAGACTGGCTGTCTCTAAAGAGCCTTGTCATAGAGCCAACTAAAATGATGATGCTGTCCCCAAGTTTTCTTCCACCCATTCCTTCCCATGGAAAGAAGAAACAAACAAGATATCAACACTCAGGGGCATGGCAACTATGACTCCGTCACTGACACATTTAACTTCCCTTCTAGAGAATAAGATATGTCATTAACCAGGCTCTGCCAACACAAAAAACAAGAAGCATGATTGGAGAAGAGACAATGAATGATGCTCTAAGCAGCTTTGTTTTTCTTCCATAACTGAGGTATTGCTAGTCCCATTCTTTGGAACTTAGATGCATAGACTGAGGATCATGGAATTCCTAGCACAAGCCCTTTAGACACAGCCCAGAATGACGCAGTGCTCCATTTTAAAAAGGAGGGGCAAAGGATGGGAATGTTCTTCCTTGAAGCCCAGATGTCTTCTATCTTTCTGAGTTGCAATTATTTCAACACATTATTTTAGCTCCACTCACATCAGACCAGGGCCACCTGTTATAGCCTCTACTCACTTATGAGAGATTTAATGTTAATTTTATATTTATAGTTTATTTAGAAAAGTCAGAACTCAATTGAGAGGATGCTATTAAAGTCATCTTGAAACCCAAAGATTTGTATACAGCAGATTAACTGATAATCAAGGCACTGTGTTGTGTAGTATAAACATAATCAAACCTACTTTGTGATTCATTATTACTTAAATTTGGATATAACACAGGACTGGAAAAACCATTATCTAAAATACAGCTACATGCCTAAAAGACATAATACATCACTAGACTTTAGGAAATAATTAATTCCATTGCAAACCAAGTATTATAAACAAAGCCATAGCATATTTTATTACAGGACTATTCTTGATTATCAAGATGGACTTTATATGTTCAGATGTTCTGATTTTAGCTTGTCCAAAATTAAATATATTCACCCTGATATCAGTAAACTACCTGACTGGATTTGTGTGTGTGTATATACATAAATATATATATACAAATATATATATACGTATATGTAGTTTTGCTAATGGTAAACAAATATTTGAGAAAAAAAACCCTAAGTAAATTAACCACCATCAGTAATAAGAGTTTACTGAGCACCTGCTATAGTCCAGGAATTATTCTATGTGCTAGAACACAACAGGGAACAAAATATACTAAGTCCCTGTTCTAGTGGGATGGTGAGTAAAGTTAATAGTGAACACTGGAAAAAAATGTTCCAATGAACACAAAATTTATAAAGTTAGTCATATCACAATATTCAAAAATTAAATTGAGCTTTTGAAATTGATATTATATATTATGCATTATTCCAGCAGTTTAAAAATTAGTAGCAAGTAATGTTATTTTATCCTAAGACATTAGCTCAGCAAAAGAGATGGAGAAAACAAAAGTGAGAAGGGTGTTTCCTTATTCTACTCATCTCTCTTGTGATTATTTAGGCCTAGCTGCAAATTAAGAAAGACTCTGAGAGCAAGCCTTTGGCACAGCAGTTAAGACGATGGTTCGGATGCCCTATCAGACTACCTCCGTTTGATTCTTAGCTCTGCTTCCAATTCCAACTTCCTGCTAATGACCATCCTGGGAGGCAGCAAGTGATGGCTCAAGTACTTAGGTTCCTGCTGTTCACGTCTGAGTTCTGGATTGGACTGATTGGTTCTTGGCTCTGGGCTGTATCCTGGCCCAGTCCCACCTGCTGTGGGCACTTGGGTAGTAAATGAGCAGATGAGCATGCTCTCACTCTCTCTCTCATAAACAAGTAAATAAATAAATATTAGAAGAGGAGGAGGAAATGGAAGGAAAAGGAGAGGAGACCCTGAGTTGCCCTACTGTGAAGTCTAATGTTTGGATAAAATGGCTTGAAACTCAAGGACATTTACCTGGATCATCCAGGAGGCCTTGAATGTGGCTCAAACACTGTTACAAATAAGATTGGTTGTTGCTTAGAAAAGTTTCACTTTTCCCCTTTCCCTTCACTTTCTATTGAGATGTGTGGTGAATTAGAGTATACATTCTCATTTACTCTCCTATCTGAATCCTAGTTCTAACTCTTCCCATCAGTTTTAATTTTGAACAAACATTAATATAGTTTTAAAATCCAGAAGAACGAGAAAGATCACAGGAGAAAGAAGGCAGCTTTTTTTGTCCATATTAAATACGATTTCAAAGTGGCAGACTGGAAATCTCTGCAGGCAAATGTGATGTCACTGAGGAAATCACACACTTACCCGTAGAGATTCTTCAGTCTGACAGCTTCAGGCCTCGGACTGCTTCCACGACTGCACAGTTCTGTATGTAGCTCTTTGACTTTGAATAAATCCAGCCAAACAGCAGCTCATTGACTGACACTGGCTTCAACTACACCAACCAGACTACATGCCTCGTGATGGTTGAATTGCACCAAGATAAGTTATAAAATGAAGTTATTTGTAACATGGGTTAAAGTAGTTGTTAAAATGTAATCACTGCAGGGCCAGTGCTGTGGGTCACTTGGTTAATCCTCTGCCTGTGGCGCCAGCATCTCATATGGGCACTGGTTCTAGTCCCGGTTGCTCCTCTTCCAGTCCAGCTCTCTGCTGTGGCCCGGGAGTGCAGTGGAGGATGGCCCAAGTGCTTGGGCCCTGCATCCACATGGGAGACCAGGAGGAAGCACCTGGCTCGTGGCTTCGGATCAGCGTAGTGCGCTGGCCGTAGCAGCCATTTGGGGGGTGAATCAATGGAAGGAAGACCTTTCTCTCTTTCTCTCTCTGTCTATAACTCTACCTGTCAAATAAAAAAAATAATAATAATCACTGCGCCAGCAGCACCTGAGAACCTATTAGAAATGCACATTCTTGCACTGTACCCCAGTTACCTTAATCAGAAACTCAGAATGGGCCCGGTAAGCAGCATTTCAACAAGCTCTCCAGGTAATTCTGATCCATGATCAAATTTGAAAACCACTGTCTTAAAGAAAACAAAAGATTATAACACTGAAGTCAACAGATCTTCTGATGTTCAATCCTACATGAAAAAAGACAGGAAGTACTAATAAAATATTACTGTCTACAATACACTTTTCTAAAATTGTAACCTTAATAAGTAGAAGCATTGCTGTCAGAAACACGTTTCTTTAACTCTTACTGTTCCACTGGAATGGCAGAGCGAGCTTACTTCCTTGCAAATAGAGTAAAGGAGCCGGTGCTGTGGCATAGAAGGTTAAGGCGCCACCTGCAGAGCCAGCATCTCATACTGGCACCTCTTTGAGTCCTGACAGCTCCGCTTCTGATTCACCTCCTCGATAATGTGTCTGGGAAGGCAGCAGAGGATGGCCAAGTGCTTGTTCCCCCACACCCACATGGGAGACCCGGAAGAGGCTTCAGCCCCGCTGTTGTGGCCGTTTGGGGAGTGAACCAGTGGATAGAAGTGCTCTCTCTCTTTTTCTCTCTCTCTCTCAGTTATCTCTGCCTTTCAAATACATAAATAAATCTTTTAAAAAAAGAAATAAAGAGTTAAGAAATCTTATTTAGAAGGAGAAAACGGTTTCATGTTTGGGAGGATTAAAAGGGTACTGACATCATTCAAGTCATGAGCCATAATTCTTATTAGATTTTATTGCCACATTCTTCACACAGCTTTGGAAAGTTATTCCTAAGAGCACAAAATATGCACTTAGACTGCACACAGAGAAGGAAAATGCTCTCACAATGAAATTATTTTAGGCTGATCCAATAGTATTTGAAAGACTCAAAATTTATTCTCCATGTAGCACATCTTGGCAAAATAAGAAATGGGTTTATATAAATGTGTCTTTTTCAATATGCTGTATAATTTGCCCTTTTAACTATTAGATTTGGCCTTTGATCTAATTTGTATGTACTAGTTTTTTCCTTTCTTATCTGATATTATAAAATTTTCATGACTGAATGGAATGAGAAACCCAAAAAAGAAATAATGTTAAAAATTATAACTGAACTTGGCCTTTAGTTACAATGAATGAAATAATTTGATTCTTATATATCAGAATAGAGTATCTGAAATATTGGGGTGCCCATTAATCAGTAACTTCTGTTAATGTGTTAAAAATTCATGTTTAGCTTCATTCTAAATGAACATTTTTATTATTTCTGGACCACACCAATTTCCCATGATGTGATGGAAAAATTGTAACATTCTAAAAATTGAATTAGATCACACACAAAACGTCAACTCACTCAGATTATAATAATGAGCTTTGGCTTATTCATTGAAAAATGAGAGTCCAGCTATGTCCAGAATCTGCAAAGACAGCACTAGAGATCCACACGATGTTTTAGACACTGTAAGTGACCTGAAGGAAGTGCATTTACTTAGATCAGTAGAAGTTCTTTTAATATCAGATTTCTTTGCCTTCATTGGAATTAAATCAGTTCAGTCTTGATGCAGTTGCTGATCAGAAGTTCCAATGGCAGTCTTGGTCTTAAGTGGCTTCAGTAAATAATGAAAAAATATTATCCAGTATGTGCAATACAATACACAAAATCTTTCAAACCATGAGGTTGTCTTTTGTCAACAATAGCTACTATTGCATTTAGTACTCCATACATGCTGCCTGATGCAGTTTCCTCACAGACCCAGTGAAGAAGGTGTTAACAACCAGTCTTGCCAGCGCCGCGGCTCACTAGGCTAATCCTCCGCCTTGCGGCGCCGGCACACCAGGTTCTAGTCCCAGTCGGGGAACCGGATTCTGTCCCGGTTGCTCCTCTTCCAGGCCAGCTCTCTGCTGTGGCCCAGGAGGGCAGTGGAGGATGGCCCAAGTGCTTGGGCCCTGCACCCCACAGGAGACCAGGATAAGCACCTGGCTCCTGCCATCAGATCAGCACGGTGCACCCACGGCCATTGGAAGGTGAACCAACGGCAAAGGAAGACCTTTTCTCTGTCTCTCTCTCTCTCACTGTCCACTCTGCCTGTCAAAAAAAAAAAAAAAAAAAAAAAAAGTCTTACTCATGAAGAAGCTAAAGATCAGAAAGACATAAATGGGAAGAAAAGGAGGTATGTGAATGTGACAAAATAGTATGGAGGAACAAGCACAGAATTATGGGCCTAGAAAGCCTTGGTTTTGGGTTTTTTGTTTTAAGATCGATCTATCTATCTATCTGACAGGCAAAGTGACAGAGAAAGAGAGACCTTCCACCCACTGATTCACTTCCAGATGGACACAAAAGCTGGGGCGAGTCCAGGCCGAAGCCAGGAGCCCAGAAGTTCATTCAGGTCTCCCACATGGGCGGTAGTGGCCCAAGCACTCATGCCGTTCTCTACTGCCTCTCCAGGCTCCTTACCTGGAAACTGAACCAGAATCAGAGCAGCCAGCACTCACACCAGCACTTGGATATGGATATGGGATGCAGACATAACAGGTAGCAGCTTAACCCACCGTGCCGTTACTCCAGGCACTAAGCCTCCGTTTTAACTATCTGATTCCCCTACATAAATTGTCTGACTCTAAATTTCATCATTAAATCAAGGAAATTTCTAAATGTTTCCTGTTTACTTCCATGGTAGGGAAAACATTTGTCTAAGATGAAGAACTGGAAAGATGTACAATGCTGTTATTTAGGGGGTGAGCTTGGCAAGACAGGAGGAGGCCTGGTTTCCTGCTTCCATTTCTCACCACCACAGACCACACCCATCACTGTGGCAACTGCAAGAGCGGGACGGGAGGATTGATCTGCCTCCTTCCTTAACTCCTCCTGACACTGGTTTTTGTCTCAAATCTTCCTCCTTGCCAGGCCCAGCATGCTTCTCTCCCAGCCTTGGCAATGCCACAAACACCAGCATTAAAGGTAAGCAAACAGCTTCTTGTGCCAGCCAAGTCCGCATGGTCTTTCCTCCTCTGATAGGGCAACAGATTTCCTCTTCTTTCTTTTCACAGCATTTCCAATAATCTTGTCGCTAAAATACACCATGTCCAGGTTACGGTTTGGGAGGATACAGGATCACCATGTATTACATAAAAAATAGTAACTTAGCATCATTAGTGACACAAATTTGCTGAGGACACCAAGTGTTAAAATGGTGCCAAAACGATATATCCTCAAAGGCTTTAAACAACATATCCCTTTTCTTTAATGGAGATTCCTCTTTGAACCTCAATTTTTTAAATGCCCTGATGGATTTGGAGGCATGTAAAATTATCCCATGTTTCATGCTTTGTTTATGCCTACAAGATTTTAAAATCTTTTTTTGTAGTTTTCTGGATTTTAAGTCTTTTCCCTAACTCATCTTTAGAGGAAGCCCTCCTTTCTCGTCTTATGCAAAAGCAATCTTCACTGCCCCTGTTTGACTTTGCATATCTAAGAAAGAAGGACACCAATTCATTTAAGAAACTAAGCATGTGAAAACCACAAGTAACAAATATTTATAAAGATGGTAATGTTCTCTCTCTTGACCTGGGTGGTGGTTACATGGGTGTATTCACTTTGTGATCATTCATCAAACTGTACACTTATGATTTGTGCATTTTTCTCTAAGTGTATTTACCTCAATAAAATAATTTTAAAATATGTATTTATGAAGAGTCCTGCCATCCCCTCCCCAAACACATGCAAGCCCTCGATCAGCACAGCCAGAGTATTTATTTTCCCTCTCCTAGAGATTTCATCTCTTGCTGTAAAAACTCCAGTTCTGGAATTTCCATCTTAAGAGATGTTTTAGGGCCTTAGGACTTCAGCATCAGATATTCTCCCTGAAGTTGCCCACCTGTCCCTGTCCTGCCCTCTCTCCACCAAGGATTACCTTCCATGCACTGGGCCTTCATCTTCTCTCATAGGTCCTAATCTCACCTCAATATGTTCAGAACAATGCAGAAAGTGTTTCACTTCTGTTTTCCTTAGAGCTAACTCTAGACCTTCTAACCTCTGTTGCTGATGCCCCACCAAAGCATGAGGCATCCTTTCACAAGTGTTGGCCAATGACTTTTCAGGCTCCTCTTCAAAAAGAGCTCTTAGAACATGAATATGCCTCCTGATCCCTCTCATTCCTCATCCCTTTTCTCTCTATATAACTGTAACTTTTATTTCTAGAAAATGAGCACCATGTTGCTTTGCAGCTCCATGAAAAGGTACTGCTATTGGATATTGCTTCCATTTTCATTTGATTTCTGTAAGAATCTTCCTGACAGGGTTGTTGTCAAGATTAAATGAGATAATCTACATAAAATACTTAGCACAATGCCAGGGACATAGTAATCACTTACTAACAGCTTTTGATATTGTTATTAGTAGAAATACAGTGTCTATCAGGCATTGTTAAGCACTGTACATAAATAGTCTTATTTAAACCTTTAGTAATCCTATGTGGTAGACAGTGAAACTCCATTTTAAAATGAGAAAACTGAGCTTTTGTAGGAGCTTGAGGCTTTTCGCTGAATCACTAGCCAGTTAAACTAACCATGAGAATGCATTTACTTCTAAAATAACCACCTTTTTGCAGGATGTGAATCCTGCCAGATGATGGCATGGCTCTCAATTCCTTAGTGAAAAGCTGCTGAATCTCCACCATGAGAATTCAAGAAGAAACCTCAGACCTGACCTTTACTTCCAGAAAGCTGAAGATGGATAGGTAAGTCAATCTTTTTGCAAACTTACTCGACATTCTGTCATCGACACCTAAGGGTATACTGGCTTTACTACCTAATCATCTGCCTTACTTTTGTATCTGTTGCCTTTAGCATCTCTTCTGTTTTCCCAAATCAAGTGCATCTTAGAAAACCTGGACAATCTTAAAGACTGAAATCTCTTCTCTGTAGCAGGAATCTTCAGAGGTCAGGATTCTTAGTATCCTCTCCTAAAAATTTTCAGAGTGAACTTCCCTCCTCTTACTGTGGGCATACTCTACCAAGAAGGTAGGTGAAACTGGTTCAGCCATTACAACTGTCACCTCACTGAACCAGCTTAATGACTTAGCTCACTGAAGTTCATTAATGTTATGTCTCTGGTCTCCAGAAAGAGGATCTTCAAAATTTTCTTTTTGTTTTTCTTAAGAAAGGGAAGGTGGCATAAGCAAAGTCTTAAGGGTCACACCCTATTATATACATAGGCATCCCTTAATGACTGTTTTAATAACAACTGCTTTATTTCCCTCCAATTTCTCATGTCCTTATTATCCAAACTGCTAATAGCTTTCACCAAAGAGTATTTATTCATCTGCTAGGCTCCTGGTTTTGGCGAATGCACCATATCCAGTGAAGTACATCTGGCTTCTTTTTAAAGTTTCATAGATGCTTGGACTAGAGAAGGATAAAGATTTTTTTTATGGGGACCCATCCTTGGCATCAATAACACTTATTCTCTGTTGTTCACTGTGACTACCTATTCAAGAATGTCTCCCCATTCAGAATGTGGAAAACACGCCAATGGGAATCTCAGCTCAATGGAAGTTCCGGCTTTGGCCTTGGGCTGGACACCCACTTATGCACAGTATGACTCAAATTCCCTTCTCGTAACGCCTTATCTCTAGACACCATTCTCCATGAATCCCTTTCTCTATTCGTAATCACTTCTAATCCTCATGCTCCTCTGCCTGACCTTCTCTTCCCACAAAAATCCAGAAAATATGCACTTAATAAACAAACAAACCCATTGACAAAGATAGATGTATTCAGGGAAGCTTTACCAAAATTCAACTTCAACTGGTATTTAACAAAATTCCAGCCAAAATGCTCATTTGTAACTGCAGCCAACTATTTTATTGAAACCAATTTGAAGCCAAACATTTTCTGAATGCCTACAAGGCTACAAAAATAATAAATAATGTTTGGCTATTTTTCAAAACTTGCAGGATTCAAGAGTCTCAATCACAGAAAGAACAAGAAGACAAGGTAAAAGGCAGAAGGCTTGAAAAAGATTATTCCTTGAAGGGTGATTCCCACCCTGAAATCAAAGAGAGGACGTTCATTTGGGGGACCTTCACATGTGCCAAGAAACAGATACAGAAGAGGGTAACACGGAGTGGGTTTTTATGGTTTTCTCACTCACCATCACTTTTTCAGTTTATTTTTATAGATTTTCTGCCATTGTTTTGATTTCCAAAAAGGGGGAATGCCAAAAAAACACCCAAATGTGGCAAAATTGTTACTATTCCAACAATAGTGTGAGGTTGATTATCCAAGGAGCTGAGATGTTTGAGAACAGCCTGAGGGAGGACTAGATTTCTAAACAGAATGTCTCAGATGATGTTGTGCTCAAATCCATAAAGACAAAACCAAATTGTAATTACAGTTTATATCAACTCTAGATACCACTGGGCCTTAAGAGACCAAAAACATCATGTAAACTCAGAAGCTCCTCAACCTAGAGATAGGCACACCTCTTGACCTGCACCCTGATATATCAATAATAAATCAGAATTCAGGCAAGGTGCAGAAAGAAGGGGTTATAGAATCTTCAATAGAGGAGGAAAATAACAAAGATGACACAACATAAAAAATAAAAGTGGAATTTTATGAAATCTACAAATTGACCATTTGAAAAATAGAAAAGTAAATCAAAGTATATGGTACCAATTTTTTAAGGAATAAAATTAGCATTTGAGAACCTATGCATCAAATATGTACTGTTAGACACCCTCACAAATACTACACTTAATTCTTTTTTTTTCATTTTATAAAATATTTATTTTTAACTTTTATTTAATGAATATAATTTCCAAAGTACAGCTTACGGATTACAATGGCTTCCCCCCCCCCATAATTTCTCTCCCACCCGCAACCCTCCTATCTCCCGCTCCCTCTCCCCTTCCATTCACATCAAGATTCATTTTCAATTCTCTTTAAATACAGAAGATCAGTTTAGCATATATTAAGTAAAGCTTTCAACAGTTTGCACCCACACAGAAATACAAAGTGAAGAATACTGTTTGAGTACTAATTATAGCATTAAATCATGATGTACAGCACATTAAGAACAGAGATCCTACATGAGGAATAAGTGCACAGTGACTGCTGTTGTTGACTTAACAATTTGACACTCTTGTTTATGGCATCAGTAATCACTCTAGGTTCTTGTCAGGAGTTGTCAAGGCTATGGAAGCCTTTTGAGTTCAACGACTCTGATCATATTTAGACAAGGTCATAGTCAAAGTGGAAGTTCTCTCCTCCCTTCAGAGAAAGGTATCTCCTTCTTTGATGACCTGTTCTTTCCACTGGGATCTCACTTGCAGAGATCTTTCATTTAGGTTTGGTTGGTTTTGTGGTTTTGTTTTTTTGTTTGTTTGTTTGTTTGTTTGTTTGTTTTTTGCCAGAGTGTCATGGCTTTCCATGCCTGAAATACTCTCATGGGCTTTTCAGCTGGATCTGAATGCCTTAAGGGCTGATTCTGAGGCCAGAGTGCTGTTAAGGACATCTGCCATTCTATGAGTCTGCTGACTACATTTAATTCTTAACAATCTTATGCACAATTATTAGTACAGAAACAGGCTCCAAAAATAAAAATAAATTGTGTTGAAGTCCATAGTGAAAGGGACACTATGAGAAACAGTGACTTGATCAGCCCTTGTCCTGACTTTTTATGTACAATTTAATACTTTATCCCTTTTAGTACTTTTTTTTGTTCTAGTTAATACTATTGGTTGAACTCTGTAATTAACACACAGTTATTCTTAAGTGTTTAAATTTAACTGAAAAGTGATCCCTGTTAAATATAAGAGTGGGAATAAGAGAGGGAAGAGATGTACAATTTGGGACACACTCAATCAGACTTGCCCCAAACAGTAGAGTTAGAAACGTGCCAGGGGATTCCAATACAATCCCATCAAAGTGGCATGTACCAATGCCATCTCACTAGTCCCAGTGATCAATTTCTGTTCACAATTGATCACACTGATAGGTCTAAGACTCAAAGGGGTCACACAAACAAGACTAGTGTCTGCTAATACTAACTGATAGAATGAAGAAGGGAGAGAATGATCCATCATGGGAAGCGGGATACACAGCAGACTCATAGAAGGGCAGATGTCCTAAACAGCACTCTGGCCTCAGAATCAGCCCTTAAGGCATTCAGATCCAGCTGAAAAGCCCATGAGAGTATTTCAGGCATGGAAAGCCAAGACACTCTGGCAAAAAACAAACAAACAAACAAACAAACAAACAAAAAAACAAAACCACAAAACCAACCAAACCTAAATGAAAGATCTCTGCAAGTGAGATCCCAGTGGAAAGAACAGGGCCATCAAAGAAGGAGATACCTTTCTCTGAAGGGAGGAGAGAACTTCCACTTTGACTATGACCTTGTCTGAATAAGATCAAAGTTGGCGAACTCAAAAGGCTTCCATAGCCTTGGCAACTCATGACTAGGCCTGGGGAGATTGCTGACGCCTTAAACAAGAGTGTCAAATTGTTAAGTCAACAACAGGAGTCACTGTGTACTTACTCCTCATGTGGGATCTCTGTCCTTAAAGTGTTGTTCAATGTGAATTAATGCTATAACTAGTACTCAAACAGTATTTTATACTTTATGTTCTGTGTGGGTGCAAACTGATGAAATCTTTACTTAATATATGCTAAACTGATCTTCTGTATATAAAGAGAATTGAAAATGAATCTTGATGTGAATGGATTGGGAGAGGGAGCGGGAGATGGGAGGGGTGTGAGTGGAAGGGAAGTTATGGGGGGGAAGCCATTGTAATCCATAAACTGTAGTTTGGAAATTTATATTTACTAAATAAAAGTTAAAAAAAAGTCATAAAAAAAAGTCCATAGTGAACAAATGGTATAACTGGGAATCACACACAGGTCTACTTTACTCCAAAGTTCATGGGCTTCCACACATCCCATTCTGTCTTCCACAGCAAGCTAAGAGAAAGAAGGATAATCCTTTCAACTTCTCAGAAGGTATCCAAATAGTTCCATCTGTGATTAAGAAATACCAATCTTCAAGGAAATATTAAAATTTCTAGCATCTGAATAGGCCCAATGGCAGCACAGATCTATATAAAGTGTTTGAGGTAGCTAAGACCACAGATGCACCTCCTGTGATGATCTCTCCCGGATGCCTATAGTACAGATTTGGTAGTCTCCCCAGAAACTGGAAGAGAATGCATAAATAGAATCAGCTTCATTCTTGATATTTTGCTACTGTTTTTCAATTTGGCCTATAGACTATCTAGCTATATTAATATAGCTTTGTTAGCGAAACTATATTGCATCAGTGTACTCCTTTTTCTCTTTTAGATGTCCACCACAGAAACAACAAGGTAGGTAAGGCAGCAAAATACGCATCTGTGCTTCCCTTCAGAGCCCTTCTCCCTGCACCTGAGGGTAGACCATAACCCAAAGCCAGCTCACCTCCAGCTTCCTTAACAATATACAATGTTTCCATCGATGATCTTCTTTTCCCTAACGTTTTCCCTTAGAGGGAAGAAGAACTACATATCTGTTTATGCCCCTTCTCCACAGTTACAGAAAGCAAAATCAAATCTAAAATGTTGCTCCCCAGTTGGTTCTGTTTGTTGGTCT